GTCCTGCACAACCCTGCTGTGTCAAGTGGGCCCCGCGGCTCCCACAGCAGCAGCCGCAATGCACACTGATGGTGCACGAGGTGAGCACAAGGCAGGTGTGCACATGTTTTCTGTGCTTCAGTGCCAGGCTCTCCATGCTGTAGCGCGACACAGAGAGCCTGGCTGACACGGGTGAGCACAAGGCAGGAGTGCACATGGACTCCGCTTTTTCAGCAGTGCAGAATTAAGTGCTGCTCCCCACCTCCCACCCCTGGTCCTCTTTTACTTACAAGTAGGAGATGGCGTAGTTGCTCAGCAGAGAGGGGTGCAAAGTTCCTGCAAACTTGCCTTTGCTGCAAATAACTTGCATGTGGGTCTTTTGACACACTCTGCAGTGCAGAGATAGCCATTAATGACCAGGTCTGGACAATTCCTATTGGCTTTTGAAAGCCAATAGAATAGAGTCTATTCTATTGGCTTTCAAAAACCATAGATTAAGAGTCTATTCAATAGAATCTATTCTATTGGCTTTCGAAATCCAATAGAATAGAGGGAGTAGCACAGCTCATGGAAAAGTTGAAAAAACCCATCAAAAAAAGGTGCCGTAACGCTGTTCTGAGCGTTCTATGAGAAAAAAAGCCCTGGTCTTAGGCGATCCCTGTGAAACGATGATTTAAACAGTCCTACAACTATGAATGGTCTCCCCCAGAAATATTAGTTTTAAATCTGTGCCAAAAATAAGGCAACATGCATGCATGGGGTGCAGTGTCTCAGGCCCCTGCTGACTCCTACGGACACTTAATTCCAAAGAAATGCTTTCTGCTAGTATTTTATCCAGGACAAAGCAAGTTGCAAAATGTGTGTTTCCCAGAATGAGTGGAATTGGTTTATTGGAACATAAATATTATATGTACTGAAGTCAAAAATCAAGCCAAAGAAAAATGGACTTATGGAGGAAGAAATGATGGACTGAAAACAGTTCCACAAAAGTGGAGCCAACAACTACAACAAAAAGAAAAAGCCCTGAATAGATAGGCTCTTTGAACTTTTCCAGACCAAAACAAGGGTGGAGATAACCCACAAGTGCTCCATACATTTGCTCCTTGTAAGACTGCAAGAAAGCAGTCTCTGTTGGGTTTTTACAGAGAGATGAGGGAATAACCATCTTGTTGAAATTGCATGAAAAAGTTTTCAATAAATAGTAGAAAATAGTTAATAAACCTATACAGAGTTGCCAAAGCAAGAATAAATTAAAGAATTGTGTATAATACTAGTGAAGAAGGTTTTGGAATTCCAAATAAATCTTATTATTACAGAAATTGTGTCAATAAAAATTTATCTTGATAGAGATAGAAGAATTAGTATTAGTAAATAAATAGTGAAAATCATAGCACTTTCTGTTGACAAAAATATTTATAAAGAACTGAAACACATTTCCTCTAAGTTCATAATTTGGAAAAGATGGGCACCTAAATTAATCAACCAGTTCTTCAGCCGTTTATATTTCATCAAGCTTTTTATGATGCTGATAATAAAATTGTGCAATATTTGGGTTGGAAAATGAAAAGATTTTATTATTTAAAAATCATATAATGGCAATATTCCTCTCCAGGGAAAGAATTAGAAGTTGTGTAGAAAATTTGGCTTCTTTGTGATTTTAAATTCATCACATTTTGTGCTTCATTGCAAACTCAGAGTTGAGAAACAAAGAGCCATGATTAAATCTGAAATGAGGTTAAATTCATTGCCTAATATGGAGAAAGGGAGTACTTTAAAAAGTACAATATTTTGCTAAAAGAGAAGACAAACTGATGAAACTGATTTTGGCAAAACTAGGGAAAAGCCAATGAAAGTATTTTATAGAAAATTTAACATGAGAAATTGGAATATAAATCCAATGTGCTGGATACAATGCAAAGAAATAGATACTGTATCTATTATTATCCCTGGTGGTGTTATAAAATTGTTTAACTGTTGAGACTATTTTTTTTAATGGAGATAAATTGCTATTCATACCCTGCCCTGGCTCTATTATATTTTTTTAATAATCAAGTGACATTGTGGAGCATAAGAGATTGATAGTTTTTTAGCTGATTGCAGCCAGATAGTGGCATGAACTTGAAAGAATAGGAAAGGAGTTGTCTAGTTCCATATAGTAGCAAATATATGAAAAACACTTTCCTCGAAAAGGTGACCTCCCTCACAAAAGGTATCAATATTATGATAACGAAGAACATGAATTTTAGCCTGCCTGGTTTAACTGTTTATGGAGATTCTCAGTCATCCAGGTCATGGTTATCCCAAAAGTGCTTTTTTCATGAGGCAATGGAACTTTCTTGTTTTTCCTGAAGACATTTTGCTTCTCCTCCAAAAAATTTCTTTAGCTCTGACTGGATGGTGGGGAATGGCAGGATTTATACTCATTGCAGACAGCTGGTCATCTGCATTCTTTTAGTGAGTCGTTGAAGCCCCTAGAGGCCATCTATGTCAAAATTGAACAGCCCTCACTCAACAGAGGGAGAAGAATACAACATCATCTATCTCCAGTCTACAACACAGTCCTTTCAACAGTTCCAAGAAGGCCCCACACCCATTTGCATTACTCAGGTTACCCTGATGACACAGATAAGCCTCCAGGGGCTTCAATGACTCACTAAAAGAATGCAGATGAGCACCTGTCTGCAAGGAGTATAAATCCTGCCATTCCTTACCATGCAGTCAGAGCTGAAGAAGCTTCTTGGATGAGAAGCAAAACATCTTCAGGAAAAACTGCAAAGATGAAGTGAGGAAAGCCAAGGCTCAAAATGAACCTTGCAACAAAAGTCAAAAATAACAAAAAAAAGCTTCTTTCAACATGTAAAAAACAACAAAAAAGTTAAGGAAATAATTGGTCCACTAGTGGGAGAAAGTGGCAAAAAGATTATAAACAACAGGGAGAAAGCAGAACTACTCAACTCGTTTTTTGCATCCGTACTTACACAAAGGGAAAAAACAATCCAACCTATCAAAAACAGTACCATAAAAAACAGATTAGAAACACAAGTTAAGATAGGCAAGAAAATGGTAAGTGAGCACCTGTCCATCCTAGATGAGTTCAAACCACCAGGACCAGATGGACTACACCCCAAGGTTCTGAAGGAACTGACAGATGTGATCTCAGAACCACTGAACTATATTTTTCAAAGATCCTGGAGCACAGAGAAACTACCAGAGGACTGGAAAAGAGCTGATGTAGTTCCCATCTTCAAAAAAGGGAAAAAAATGGATCCAGGAAACTACAGACCTATTAGCCTGACCTCAATACTTGGGAAGATCTTGGAAAAGATAATCAAGCAATGAATCAGCAAACATCTATAGGCAAACAAAGTCATTACCAAAGGTCAGCATGGGTTTGTCAAAAACAGATCATGCCAGACAAATCTTATTACATTCTTTGACCAGGTGACAAAATTAGTGGATCAAAGGAATGCTGTGGATATAATTTACTTGGACTTCAGTAAGGCATTTGATAAAGTAGGCCACAACCTAACTATTTGATAAGATAGAAAAATGTGGGTTAGACAGCATCACTACCAGATGGATTCATAGCTGGCTGACCAGCCATATTCAGCATGTGGGTCTCAATGGGACTGCATCCATATAGAGGAAAGTGTGTAGTGGGATGCCCCAGGGCTTTGTTCTGGGCCCAATGCTCTTCAACATCTTCATCAATGATTTAGATGAGGGGATAGATGGAGAACTCATCAGATTTGCAGATGACACTAAGCTGGCAGGAATAGCCAACACTCCAGAAAATAGGCTTAAGATACAGAAGGATTTTGATAGACTTGAACATCTGGCGCTATCTAACAAAATGAAATTCAATGGTGAAAAAAGTAAGGTTCTACATTTAGGCAAGAAAAACAAAATGCACAGGTATAGGTGGTACTTTGTTCAATAGTAGCAACTGTGAGAGAGATCTTGGAGTCCTAGTGGACAATCACTTAAATATGAGCCAGCAGTGTGCTGCAGATACCAAAAAAGCCAACACAGTGCTAGGCTGCATTAACAGAGGGATAGAATCAAGATCACGTGAAGTGTTAATACCACTTTACAATGCCTTGGTAAGGCCACACTTGGAATACTGCATCCAGTTTTGGTCATTACGATGTAAAAAGATGTTTGAGACTCTAGAAAGAGTACAGAGAAGAGCAACAAAAATGATCAGGCTGCTAGAGGTTGCTGGAATTGGGTATGTCTAGTCTAATGAAGAGAAGGATGAGGGGTGAAATGATAGCAGTGTTCCAATACCTCAGGGGCTGCCACAAAGAAGAGGGAGTCAAGCCATTCTCCAAAGCACTATATATAGTTGTCAAATGCTGGGGAAATCGGAAAACTCAGGCAGTTCAAATGAATATAAAATTTATTGCAAGCTTAAGCTCTCTACAAAAATCTGAATTAATAATGGTTAAAGCAAATTTGCAATAGATAAGAGTCAATAGATTTCAAGATGGAGTGGACTTAGATCTCTTTGGGCATGAAGAAACTCGAGACTGATGATGCATTTGACTGGTTTAGCCTGGTCATCTCCTACAATAAGAAAATTATTCAGCTCAGTTTCTTGCTTTGCTATTTTATAACCCTTTTAATTATTAAAATATTAACTGGTTTCTTTTGTAGATGTAGCATCTTTTTCCACATCATTATCATAGTTCATCATTTTAAAATCCATTTTCAGATCAAATTTAAGTATTATTCTCTTCTATTTAGTTATTTTAGTTCCCTTAGGTGTCCAACTTTCAAAGTCCCATTTTATCATATTTTTTAAAGAATTCAAAGAAAAACTATTTTCCCACAGGAAAGATTCTCATAATTAATTTCAAAATATTATTTCAAACTTATCTGAACCCTTAATTCATTTGTAATTTTCTAAAAATCAAGGTTTTAATTATTCTTTTGCAATTTATTCCAGGAAAAAATGAAGTCCTTAAACTTTATTTAAAATTGTTTTTACTAAGGATTGAACTTGTCAAACTAAAAGATTTCTAATAATTGAAAAGCAGTTAACAGGCAATTTCTGAAAGTGATTACAAAAAAGTATGCGATCTTATTGTCCTTCCAAACATGCCAACCACAGTTTGAGCAAATTAGTTATTTCCTTGTCTCCCAGAGTTCTAAAATCACCAGAGACTACTGTCATGAAAAATAAATATATGGAGCATTTTTGGATGATACCAGATCCTCTTTGTCCAGACAGGAATTATGAAGAGCTGATGTATTGGTTTCCTCTTTATTCCATTGCAACCATCTTCACTTTTCCATTTCTTTCTTGGAAGTTGACTTTTTCACATTTTGAATGAATCTGTTGCAGAGTGTATAGCAACTCATCCCACCTAATTTGCTGCAATATCCTACTATATGGTGCTGCTCAAGTGTATGATACTGTATGGTACTGCCCTGTTCTTTCACTGCTGTTCCCTTGAGTGTATAACCAGCTGCTTCTGTACCAGACTGGTTAAATAACAGCTTAACCAATTCTCATGGATTTCATTTGGCTTAATGGGTCACAAATATAATCACACCATACGCCTACATCATTTACTAGGAATTCACATTACTTGAGAATGCTGTGATATACATAATGTCAACCAAGTATTCCAACATACTCTGAGTTTTTTTAAATGATGAGGATAGATTAAATAGCCAACAAGCCCCTGGACTTTTATAACATATGGATTGCACATGGGCTTGAAAGCTAAGTAATCTTGTGCCTGATAACTTAGATGAAAATCATAGGAAATACCAGAAGTGCAAATTAGAAAGGACAACAAATTCATTGTTGTATTCACAAATAATATATAGTGTGTCATATTATACAATAAAATAAATAATAAGATTGCAAATTATAAATTATGACTGTAAAAAGAGTAATGGATGTAAAAGGTTACAGCAAAATGAATCCAAAGCTACAATTAAGAAATTACATATTTCTTTGAAAGTTTAAATGACAGTAAAGCAAATGTAACAAGAAAATAGTTCATTTTTTTAAGGTCTGAGCACTTAAGTTCACTGCCATCAGTAATTTCGCTCTGATCTCATTGTAAATGAGACAGTGGAGGACAAAGTGGTTAATGTCCTCCACTTAACCAATACTGCAAGGTCATAGATATTGTTTGATAGCGACTTTACAAAGTCTTCTTTCAAGTTTTGCAGATATCACGATCGGCGGGTGAAGGGAAGTTAAACCCCTTTTCACTGAAGCACTGGAATCGCTTTCAAAAAGCCTATATGTAATCCTACATTCTCCCAAAGGTGGTAGAGAACATATTTGTAGAATGGGTGACAAAAGGCTGGACCATTGATTCTTAAATATTTACTCAAATGGTGATGGTCTTACCTCCATCCTTAAATAGGCAGCAGGAGTGCCCTAAGGGCACTCCTAAGTAAATCTTACTAATGAGGTTATTTTGGGCTACTTTCAATTGGGCAGTATTCAGACTGGACTAGATAGTATAAAACAAGGTGTCATGGAAGACAGCAATAATAAATCACTTCCAAAATGTGCCAGGAAAATTGCATAGATTTGTTCATGGAATCACTAGGAGTCAAGTTTTTCTTGAGGGTATATGTCTAATATTTTAAAGTTAGTCTCTTGACGTTGTCATCTCAATGTTCTTTTTTTCTGAGAGCCAAAGCTATCCATCAGGATGTGTGGTAATCTTTTTCAATCTAAAAGTGTTGCAAACAATTGTTCAACTGTTAACAATTGTAGGCCATGAGTTAAAAAACAACCTTTCTTGCATTTTACTAGCCTGTTTCAGAAAAAAACAGATGGGGGATTATTTCCCTTTGCCCCCATGTAGTAGGTTCTATATACCTTCTGTTCTATAGTTAAACATAAAATGTAGGCATTAAACCTATGTTCTCTTTTCCTCCAAAGATATAAAATATATTAAAAATGACTTTATATAAGGCCTACCTGCTGATTTCCACAGTATAAACCAAAAGATCATTGCAGTAATTGTCATATTTTAGGGAGGTTGGAGGAAGGGGAACAGTAAAAAATATTAGTCACATAATTGTCCCTTTTTGTGTTCAAAATTAAAAAAGGACGCATGGTTTCAGTCCTGGCTTTGTTTGAGTTCCTTGGGGGAGGAAGTATATATCTTGTAGTATTTTATCATAGGTCACATTTGGGTTGAGATAATAGATGGTTACTAATACATGTTTACTATGACACTATAAAGACAGGTTATGACACAGTTAAGGTTATTGGATGAAATGATAAAAAGCAACTTCCTTTGATTTAACCCTGAACAGTGAATAGGCATCTTATCTGAAATGTAAAGGATGTTGAAATTATTTGAAAAATACATCAAGGGAACCAGGCTGCAAATGGATGAATGCTGATCTGATCTTGCAGTTCTGATTATCATTCTTCTTCTTTCATCTGTAAGACAGCCTATTCCAGACATACTGTAATCTATCCCCTTTGTACATTTTTAATAACAATGTCTGGTACATTATGTTTTAAGTACCAGTAAATCTGAACTTTGAAATCCCTAATAAGTAGTAATAGCAGCAGCAGCAGCAGCAGGAGGAGGAGGAGTAACAGTAAATAGTAGTAATCTGAAAGTTATGACCTGAAATCTTTGGAGGAGAACAGAATGCTAGTTTCCTGTCCACAAGGTTTTTAAATTTTATGTTTGAAGAGAGGTGTCTATTATATCAATCAGACAAACATCTCCCATTCAAGGAAATTAAGAAAAACTAGGGATTATTTTCCATATTATATGGGGCTACTCTTCTTCTCTCAAAAAAGAGAGTGGCTTCCAATTATATGAGATGTAGAAAGTCTACTGGCATGGCATGTGGAGAGGATCTTTTAATGTTATAACAGGATGAAAATGGTCCCCCAAACTGAACTAAATCCTGTGCCAGGTTGTTTCTTAAGAGGGTGCTTGGTTAAGCAATGAAATGAGCTCTGCACCCTGGCCAAAGTTCATATGCTCTGACTAGTTTTGCCTTAAAAATGTTTTCGTGGTCATCAGTAGCATGGAACAAGAACATATATTGGTCCATATCTCATGAAAATTTCCTCTCCTTGGTTCTAGATCTTTCCAGCTTTCAAAAACAAGTCACTCATTTCAGAAGGGTGCCTAATAGGTTTTTTAAATACTTCACCAAAGGATGCTCACCTAACAGAGTACTTCTACTTGTTCCTCTCTCGTTTCAAACATCAATATCTACAGTACTTATCAAAATCCTGGATAAGTATTCAGGCTTTGTGAAAAAAAAAATGAAAATACAGACTGGTTTTATCTGCAAGAGACTGAGTGCCTGGCCAAAAAAAAAAAAAGATATAATATAAATTCAGAATGATTTATTCTGTTGTGGTTCAATCTTTTTCTCATCTTTCAGAATACATACCACATGCAGTTCTGGAGCATTCCCTCCCACACTCTCTGCTGACATACTTCTGTGTCAATGTCCCTCCTCTATCCTTCCCACAGGCAACACCAATTGATAGCTTGAATCTTTATAGAAGGGCCACCCCCTTTCTCCACCCTGGGATATCTGTTTACCTTCCCTAGTGTTATTTGTTCCTCCATATTTATCTGCACCTTTATTCCAGCAACAATGGATCTTCTCTTACTCACCTTCACACTAATTGTGATCTTTCTACTTTATCAATGGAGCATGATCTTCAGATTCCTCTGCAAGTTGGCCTTACTCAGTTGCTGGGTTTTATTCCTGTCTATCACAATATCCCCTTGGGTAGCTGTATTCATTGGACAAAGAGTGGAAAACATGAAGTGAGTAGATGTTAATTCTAGTTTCAATTTGAGGGATGAGAACAAGATAAGTCTTGGCACCAAGTTTTTCTGAAAGATAGGCCTGTGATAGCCAACTTCTTCAGCCTAGGAAAGGACTTTTCAACCTTTTTACAGATTGTACCACTTTTAGGACATGACAATATTTGAGTACCACCAGTGCTTAGCAAGGTGTCAAAAACCTGATGACAAAAAGGAGGGGGGGTTGGGTTTTACTGATTAGATTCATTTGTTGTTATAGAAATGGCTAGTTTATAATATTATGGAAAAGTAAATAGTTGAGGTTCAATGTTAATGTTCTACTGCAACAGAGGAAGTATGTTCTTTTTCCCTTCTCTCACTCACTTTCCCTCCCTTTTTTCCTCCCCACTGTGTCCTACTATTTGCTTTTGTATTTTATTCTATAATCTAATAAAATATTACAAACTGTAGAAAAAAGTAAAAAAGTACCAGTTTTAATTTCTTTGGTAGCTGTTCCTTTGCTGAATCACTTTCCCTTTGCACTGACAAATGTATGATGAATTTATCCATGTTTATTAATATGCACCACTACCAGCTAGTTCAGGGGTCTTCAAACTTGGCACTTTTAAGACTTGTGGACTTTAACTCCCAGAATTCCTCAGCCCTCATGGCTGGTTGAGGAATTCTGGAAGTTGAAATCCACAGGTCTTAAATTTGCTAAATTTGCTAAGTATGTTAGACTCCTGAGCTAGCTGGTTCGCCCTTCTGAGCTCTTCCACATTGTAGTAAGAATGCACACCCCCCCCCCAATCCTTTCCTTGTACCCTTAAAGACACAGGAATCAAGTGCAAAGCAAGAAAATAAAGAAACACAAACTCTATTTTGTTTTGTCTTTAAGCTGCCTCAGGTGTGTCACGTGTCACAATGTTGCAATTCTAGACTGAAGGTACCTGCAATTGCAAAAAGCTTTAGCTTCAAATTAAGCCTGTTTACGTTCAAACAAAACTTTCTAAAAGCTATAGACGGACTCAATTAAAGAGGGTAAAACTAATTATATTTGTTTAAAGGGATTAAACTTTTCCTGTTGTCTTTTTTCCCCTTCCCCCACCCAAATCACATTCTTTTATAACCTCTCCTCTCTTCTCACCCCCCCCTTTTCTTCAGTTCACCTCCAGCTCCCAGCTGCTTCTGGAAGCGCCAATCAGCTGGAGCCCTGCTGGCTCCTGGGGCTTCTGCTGAGCCCAGACAGTCCTGCAGCTACAGCTTGGCTCACTTTGGCTCATTCCCCTCTCCTGCTACACCTGGCTAGCAATCGCTTACTACCTGCCATGTGGCAAAGTACCATAAGTGGTACACTACCACCAGTTGAAAAGCCCTGGCCTAGGGGACAAAGATTTACCTACAAAGCAGCATGAGAACCAGATAGTTCCATCCTTTAGATCAAGAATAGCCTTTTTTTTTCTTCAAGAAATTAGAAGTACAGTGAAAAAAAATGATGGATTTTGCTATTAAGGGCATCCTTTTTTGGCCTGATTTATGCCCATTTGCGAGTGGTTTATTCACAAAAGAAAAAGAGAAATGGGGGTAATTTCTGCAAAGGGTGCATAATTACTTTTCATATCGGTTTTGACTTAATCAACACCCATTTTTCATGAGCCTATCCTTTCAAAAATCCATTGGCACTGAAAAGATTTAACAATTATTTATGGTATGAACTCATGGTTATGTTCCATTTCATCAGATGTCTGAAGTGTTTCCCTAGATAATCAGAAATATTTGTATGTGTATACAGACATGATATGCGAGGGGACATTATAAGTGGCAATGGTAAAAGAAAATTGAATTGCCGTTACTTTAATATTTAAATGAAGGTGTTCAAAATCTTTACAGTGCCCAATCATAAAATAATAAAAATACAAGCCTATTATTAATAAGATTAACTCCAGTAGTAAAATAAAAATCTTTTACAGATGCACAATTGAATTGATGCAGCTATTTCATTGTTTTCATTTAATTTATGTTGTGATGGCCACTTTAAATTCAATAATAGATGAAACCTGAAAGATATTCTAATTGATTTCTGAATATTTATTTTCTCATGGCAAATTTATGCCTATTGATTGGTTCCCCTCCTTTTTTAAAAAAGCCCTAACCTTTACAGTTTTTGTCAGATGTAAAAATGTCAGGGCTGTTTGTAAAAGGAGGGGAATCAATCAATTGATATATAATACTTTATAATAAAATAAAATTTTATTTCAGCACTTTGGTCAACCATGTACTCTTTACTAGAATACTGATGTTAGTGGATAAAAAGCAATGAACAAGGATATAAGGAGAAGAATTGTGGCAGGAAGAGTAGAGAGGGCTTTTTGTTCAAATAAGCATTTTGTCTTGGGATTCTTAATTGATTGTTCTGCCAATGGATTGTTGAAAAGCCCTTTTGATAGATAAGATAAATTGGAAGATGAAATGATAAACAAATTGGATGTTGTGAGGTTGATGCTGTTAAGCCTTCTAATATGATTCCTTGGATAGAGATGAAGAGGATTGACTTCTGGCTTTATTATATTTTGTTCCAATTGGCTAGCCTGGCTGTTGCCTGTTTAAGGTTAAGGAACCACTTGTGAGTTCTATCATTCAAGCCTCATAAGAGGCTTTTAATAAATTTAAAACATTTCCTCATAGTCACTTTCTTCCATGCTATCAAGCTGACTGGAATATAGGTAAATTACAATGAAAGCATGTTTCTTATATGTATAGCCACTGTGTGAGTGTGTTGTGTGCTGTATGGCAGTATGTGACAGAAGAGATGGGTAGATGAGTAAGAGAATGAGGCTGATGGTTGTGTGGCTGGACAGAAAGACCCATAAGAGGAATGTAATTAGAAGAGTGTATATAAAAGAAAAACACAAAGAAATGTGGAACACCAATATTTTGATTGGGTTGTACGTATGCATAAATGAGGCATTATGAGTTTGTGTAATGCAAGTGGAGGTGCAATGCAGGCTTTTGGAGTAAAATGGTCCCCATTCTCCAAATTCTTTCTACTCTTATTGCTGGGTTCTGTCTGAGAGGTAATGACTGAAATGAGTGTTTTAATTTTTTTTTAAATAATGATTGATCACTGACTAATTAAATATCCTTATATCTACTCATTCCCCCCCCCACCCTCACTGTCAACCATCCTAACTTGGTCAAAGATTCTGAAATCCATTGTTAACGAAAATACACTTTAGTAAAGCCATGAAGTTACAGAAGAAGCAAAGCTGGATCTGAGATTTCTGTACTCAAAACATATAATTAACTTTTCCCTGGTTTCGACCTTCCTCCCTGGTTATCTTCAAGAGTCCAATTAAATTCCAACAAATTGTTTGGGTAACAGTCCCTGGCTTTATGGGCTGGAGGGTTCTGCATTTCATAGTGTGACTTGGAATGGCCGGTGGCTCTCACGGGGTGGCACAATGCATTGTTTCGATTCCTTCATGCTGACCCTTCCCTTATCCCACCATGGCAGGTTGGCGGCAAGTGAGCATGGTGTAGCAGGATGGTAGTCCTGACATTCTGCCTCTCCTGGAAAAGACTAGTCCATAGGGTCATCTTCTCCTCCATTATCGCTCTCAAGATTGACCTCAGTTGTCTTGGTTGGAGTTCCCTTGCCATCATTACAACCTCCACTCCTTTCCGCCCCCCTCCTTCAGCTTAGGGGGGTCTTTCTCTTTCTTCTTGATGCTTCTTGCAAGAGTGACTGTTGGCTGACAAGCTAGGACTCAGCAGCCCACTGGCCCTCTTTGCTAATAGTATTTGGTGGAGTATCAGGGGTTTGGCCCTCCCTTACCCGCTTTTGAGGATTCTCTCTTCTCTGAGGTGTAGGGATTCTGCATCTGCTGTCCAGTGCATTCATGGAATGTGGCCAGATCAATCCCAACTGCACTGACCAGGATGTACTATCCTTAAAGATTTCTGGGTGCACCCCGGGACAGGCAGGTGTAATACAGCTCTCAACTCAGCACTTCTCAGAAGTAATCCATCAGGATCAACTGTGGCCGATCCCCCAGTTGAACAGCTAGATTTTAGAATTCTTGAATGTGCACTGTAATGGGTCATTTTCCTTGTCTGATGATCTCAATTTGAGTGGCAGTGTGCCAATCCACCAGGGGGTCTTCAAAATGTCATCTCAGGGTAGGCATGAATGATGTAACAGGATGGTAGTCCTGACACTCATTCTCCATTCGGAGCTAGACTGGAACTCTGAAATTCATCATGACCAAATAAAATATGTATTTCTCAATACAAATGTAATTATCTCAGAAGAATATATTACACATCTCCAGTCCTTTGTGTATTCTCTGATAAGCAAGTTTAAGCAAGTTCACAAATATCCACACCTAAATTACATCTGATAATAGCAGATAGAAATATATATAGAAAATATATTGCATGCCCTAAAGGGAATAACTAATGATCACTGAATTTTTGGTGACTCACTTGGAACCCTGGAAGATATTTGCTTTTGAATATGAAGAATAAATAATAAAGGCAGAATTCCCTGACATTCCTCCATTTGTTTATGTCACTTTTTGAAAGCAAGCAGTCTGACCTGGAGGAGGGCAAGTGGGGAGGGAAGCTTTTTAATAGTTACCTTTTAATTTGGGCCTGTTATTTCTATCATTTGTCCGTGTCCTTTTCAAACTGTTTTTATTCTCCATTGAAGAATCTGTGGCCATGTTTGTGCAGTACATAAACCCTGCTTAAACTTTTTCCGGGTGCACATAAGATAGGTAAACTAATTGTACATGAACAGTTAGTTCATGAACTGTATTTGCATAACATACTAAATTAAAATGTGATTGGAGTGTTATGTGAAAACAACATTGATGTAATTTTACTGTCAGGCAGGAAATGTCTTTATAATATATTTGGTCTCAGGTTCAGAATAATTTGAACAGTTCTGGAGCACTCTATTTTGTGATATCTGTCCGTTCCAGCTTTATGAACAAAATGTTTTGGCAAGAACTGTATGA